TCCCTACTTCCATCTGCCCACACTCCTCTAGTAATAAAAAACAAACAAACAAAAAAACATTTAACCTCTCTCTTGTCTTAGCAACTGCCTGGGCTTGCAAGCACTAGCCTCAAACAAATGGTAGAAGAAAAAAAAGCACTGGCTCTCTTATATGGCCCTCATCACCATGGGATCTGGATGCCTCAAATCACCAGTTGATTTTATCTTCACAATATACCCCTGGAAGGTAGGGAAGTATTATTCCAATTGTACAGAAGGGGAGCTGAGGCATGAGGTAGATTGAGTGGACTTGCCCAAGGTCACACAGGAAATTCGTGGCTGAGCTGGTAATTGAACTCAGGTTCTTGAGTCCCAGTCTACTGCCCTATTCACTAGACCACCCTTCCTACTCTATAGAAAAATCCTGAGGGAGGGATCCTGCAACTTCAGCAATATGTGCATGGTGGTCATATGTGCAGGTCCTGCAGCACAGCCACATTTTTTCTACTCCCTGAACTGGAAGGCAACAAGAATTAGGGATGTGTGTGTGTGTGTACACAGAAAAAAGTTAGAACCACTCATAGACCAGGTGAGTATCCAGAAGGGACAGGAAGCTCTCACAGAGGCTAGCCACTGGGGGGAAAAGAAGCAATGCCACACAACACCCTTCAGCAGGCAACGTGATCAGGGCAAGCAAACTGCCTGTATAATTGAGACCTGATACACCACATAGCATACAGATGTAGTATAGGGTAGATGTACACTATAGACATAATGTACCTAATTTATGCTGTCTTTTTAGAAAGACATCTACTCTTACAGCTTGTGGTGATATCAACTATTATCAAATGAAAGCAGCTGTGTTTTAAACTCCTGAAGAAAGTGGGTTAAAATTAAATGGCAAATGATCTCCACCTACAGTGGCACTGCACTGGTAGGCACCACAGTAATATATACAGAAACTGTTTTTGGACACACAGAGTGAAGAACAACCTCAAAAGAGGTAGAGGTTAAAATAATTTCTTCTATACGAAGATTATAAAACAAGTTAAGAACTGTGAACTAAGTGTTCCCAAACCAAGCTGTCTTATCTCTGAGAAGCTTCTGTTTAATCAAAAACTAGGTAATAAATGCTGAAAGACTTAGCAAAAAAAAAAATACAACCCAAACCTCACACATTACTCAGAACGCTTTACTTTTAAAATTAAAACAACTTACTGTTCAGAGTCATAATAATCCATGCTCTTCTTTTTCTTATTGTAAGCTGCAACTCTGAAGGGTACAATTTCCAATGTTTTGAGGCCTGGTGCCATAGTCAGCACTTTTGCACCATGGGTTGGTTCATAGAGATCTTTCCCAGTCTCAGGATGTGGCATGCCTGCTGGATCCCGTCCCACGATGTAGAAGTTAGCTCCTGCTACCATCCGTGACCTGCAATGCCATTGAACCTGGAACACAATTTGGGAAAAATAAATGAGCAGGAGACAAAGAGCAGCTGTGGGGAGGTAAGGGGGATGATCAACAATGCTATCGCTACTGCTAAACTATCACTATTGCCTATGATGTAGAACTATGCTCTGGCGTCTCATGCGTCCCAAGAAAATAAATAAAATATGTATCACTTCATATATTTTTGTTGTTATTCTATAGTAAAAATATAAAACAAGAGTTCGCATGAAAGCAATATTACATCTCAGTTTGCTAAGCAGTTCTCAAGCCATAAATCAGTGAGGGTTCAACAGAGCACTTGCTATTAGGTTCATGAAGACCTGACTGGTCTCAGTGCAGGTTTTCCATTTCCAGCTGATAAGTTTCATTAAAAGACAGTCAGGCTACAATGAATACTTCCCTCTTACTTTTCCACGTAACCAATTCCTGTAGTTGCCCTAGGGATGTCATGTTAAGAATCAGGGAGAAGCTTCTGTAGGAGATTAATAGGACTACACAGCTTGGAAAGAATATGTTGACATGACAGATGAATGGAATGAATAACGAATTGAATGGTCAGCTGGGACCTCTAAATTTAAAGGAACTAAATTAAAAAAATCTATAAGGGCAAACGCTAAGTAATATAATTAGCCTATGCAACTCCCTTGTGTAGGATAGCGTGGAAGTAAATAGCTCAATCAGATTCAAAACAGATTAGCTATTCACGTGCATAAGAGTGTCTGTAGTTGCACTAACAACAATGAATTTAAAGGGTTGTCATGTTTCAGCCTTCTAACATAAGCTTATCAGCTAGGGAAGAAAGTTTCCCCTTGAGGTGAAAAACTGCAGTGTTCATGTAGATATATTTCAGAGATTTTTTTACACCTTCCTCTGAAACATGTGGTATTGCCCACTATAAAAGACAAGAGACTACAACAGAGAGACCTAATGTGTAAATCACTACATTTTTAATGTTTAGCAGCGGTGTCAAAATTAACCTGCCTGTAGAGAGCAACGCAGAAGTGCTGTTCGGATAAGCCTACAAAAATCAAGAAATGTGACTGAACTAACGTGCCATGTCAGAAGAGTGTCTCACACCCTTCAAACAGTGAATGACCATAGGCAGATAGCCTCGATTGATAATACAGAAATGACTTCCACATCCTAATCTAAACAAACATACAAACACAAGTTTTTCCTCAAATATTTAAACATGTAAATATAAGCCTTCATCTAGACCTAGCCTAAAATTAAATAATTTATCTGCATCATTTTTATATGTATTGCCCATAAGTGGTGCTTCATCTCTAGGCAATCCAAGGACATCTAAGATTGCCTTGAGTCTTTTATACATTTAAAATACAGTAATTTAGCATAGTGTTTGGAACACTGATCTGAGACACAAGGGAGCACACATCCTGGAGTATTCTTGCGGGTAATAAAATACTAAAATAAATTACAGCAATAGTTTAGGCCCAAGCACACACTATTTCCCCATTCCATAGTATTACAATTTCTAGGAGCAAACCTCAATACTCCCCCCCAAAATTTAAAAGTTAATCTGATGGACTAAAATGCACTTCCTTAAAAGATTATGCATTCTCTCACAATGTTGCTTTTCAACAGCAAAATTCGGAAATGCATATTTAAAAGTGCACCAATGTTCAATTAACTCTGCTTCTTATTTGGTACTAAAAAGGGAAAAAAAAAAAAAAAAAAGGTTACATGAGCTGAATATAC